CAATGTGCACTTGCAACTCAGAAAGCCAACTGTACCCTGGACTGCATCAAAAGAAGCATGGCCAGCAGGTCAAGGGAGGTGATTCTGTCCTTCTTCTCTGCGCTTGTGAGACCCCACCTGGAGTACTGTGTCCAGTTCTGGAGCCCCCAGCATAAGAAGGACATGGACCTGTTGAAGCAGGTCCAGAGGAGGGCCACAAAGATGGCCAGGGGGCTGGAGCACCTCTCCTATATGGACAGGTTGAAAGAGTTGGGGTTGTTCAGCCTGGAGAAGAGAAAGCTCCAGAGAGACCTTGTTGCAGCCTTTCAGTCCTTAAAGAGGGCATATAAGAAAGCTGGGGACAAACTTTTTAGCAGGGCTTGTTGTGATAGAACAAGGGCTAATGGTTTTAAATTAGAAGACAATAGATTTAGACTAGATATCAGGAAGAAATTGTTTACAATGAGGGTGGTGAAACACTGGCATAGATTGCCCAGAGAGGTGGTAGGTGCCCCATTCCTGGAAACATTCAAGATCAGGTTGGATGGGGCTCTGAGAAACTAGTTCTTGTTGAAGATGTCCCTGCTCATTGCAGGGAGTTGGACTAGATGACCTTTAAAGATCCCTTCCAACCCAAACTATTCTATGATTCTACTATTCTTTGACAAGACTGAAATCTTGTCTACAATCCCACACTCATATACTTTCAAAATCAATGTGCTGCATTGCTTGCTCTGTGCCTGATCTGCATATAAGTGTGCTGCAATACCTATTAAGAAAGCTTATTTCAAACTGTAATTGCTCAGTGCCCACCTGTGAAGAAACATGATTCAATTCTAGGTGTCATCTCAGATAGCACCTGTATTTGCAGGCAGTTCATCTTAATTAGCTTTTTTTTTATCCCCAACAACTGCTTTCACAGAATGTTTTGATAAAACCTTATGCCTAACCAATAAATGATTATTTTTTTATCCAGTACGTGGTGACTTGAAAAAGATGGTATTTTAACCAAGTTCTGGAACACACATAATACTTCTGGAAAGTAGATTTTGCAGTCATCTTAGGAAATTGACATGCAGAAAATCTACTAAGCTGGATTTCATGCAAGGACAAAAACTGTTTCTGAGGCACATAATTCTGCTTTCTGTTTCCATGCAGATACCTTTGCAGAAAAATAAAAACACATGCTACAGCTACAAGATATATTCTTTGTTCACTAAATAAAAAGTAGTTTAGCACACTCAGTATATAAAGCATAGGTTTAATATAGGAAATACAGGGTTTGTCATATAATATATGGACACCTATATCACAAAGAGTGCTTTACACTGAATGTGTTTATAGATTGCCTTCTTTGTCCTGGGACAGAATATTAGTCTACACACTAATGGTACCCTGATTGTTTTGATTCACCTTATCTTGTTAATTCCTTGTCATCTGCAAAACAGATTCTATCTTGGTATATGTTATATCCCATAAATAAAGAAGTCATTTTTCAGATTTCTTAGCACTGTATATTAGGTCAGCAGTTTTTAAATTCAGCCACTGAGCTGAAAAATGGGTCCAAAAAACTCATTATAATAACATATGAAATTAAAGGAAAAATTAATCTTCTCAAAGACAAACGATAAAAATGAAAATAGAGAATGTCCTGTTATCATGAAAACAGAGGGATTGTGATTGTCCTTCTCCCATTTCCCAAGCAGCCCACTTGCAGAGGGTCTGGAAAACTTGAGTTCAGTTCTCTTCTTCGGACGACATTCCACAGACATTCTCCATGCAATGAATCCTTCTCATCAGTGTTGCATCATATACTTCAACAGCTATTGAAAGTTTGATTCAGATCCTTGTCCTGAAACCAGCAGAATATATTCCATTTGCTTGGCAAAAATGCACTGGGTGTCAATACCAATGAGGCAGAAAATCTCCTTTTTATATATATGTATGTGAAATAATTACTTTGATATTTTAAGCCAGCATCAGAAAGTAGGACTTACTGCCTTGCTCAATGCCTAAGATATTCATATGCAAAGTACCATCCTGTCTTTTTCTGACATAGCCTATCATGTAGAGGCTCAAGGTTTTTTTCCTGCCTCAAGGAAGATAAATGGATATGGCTTTCCTTAAACTGAGGAAAAAGTAAAAAAGTATGCATCTCCAACATAATAGCTAAGTGACATACTGCTTCAATATGACAGTGTTAGAACTCTTACTGAGGATAGATAACTTCTAATGTTTTTTTGCTACTCTTGACCAAAAAAAAAAAAAAAAAGTCTATCCAAATGTGGGGGTCTTTTTAAATTCGTGAATGGTTTAACTGTATTGCTGGCAAGTAAACTACTGACAAATAAAGAGATCCCTTCCCTGCTATAAAGGCAAAACCCCCTCATGCTTCTACTCAGAAAACAGCTCTGTAAAATCTGCGTTATGTGGATCTGCATTTATTGTCTCTCAGGAACTGCAGAGAGAGTTTTCTTAGGTTTTTCCTAACTTTGTCTGTCCTGGAAACTATGAAAGCTGCTTTGATTTCTTTTTGACTTAGACATTAACACAAGTATTAAGAACTCTGTCAAACCAAGTCTACTGGGAACACCTTGTCTTCAGTTTCTGCCTGTAGTTTAAACTTCTTTAAGCAGGGAAGTATAAAACTGAGGGCAGAATATCATCCTGCAGCTGAAACTTTGTTCAGATCCGCTAATGATGTGGGAGCTAAAACAAAATATGACTCATTTTTCCATAGCCATTTCGCTCTGCAATGTTTCACTCTGGACCAAAAGTTCATTTTTGTCACTAACATATTTAGCTGTAAATGATTATAAACAGGTATATTAAGTTTTAAAAGAAACATTTTCTGATTGCTTCAGTATGCAGATTCAAAGATCAAATACTGACCTGAAAAAAAATTGTCTGGAAACCTAGTGACACAAGAAGTCGACACAAATATTTTTATTAATATTTTATAGATCATGAATACATTGCATTTTTGAGTCATCTGTATAAGTTATGATTTCATACTGAATGTTTTCCATAAAACTCAAGGGTCCTTAAATGCCCATTAGATATTCACAAGTGTAATCTTAATCACAGTAATTTGAAACAGAACACAGAGGATACAAAGAGCCCAGACACAACCTGTGAGGAACACCTCATGTAAATATATTATGGAGGCATCGAGGTGCCTGGTCTAGAACAACAAAAGAGAGTTCAGAAATGTGATGGTCTTCATTGCACATCACACAACACAAAGAATTAAACTCTAGAACAAGAAAATTAGAAGGAGCTAGGGAAAGCAGAGAAGGCAAGTGTTTAAGGGGGATATCGAGGTAATCAAAAGGATGGGATGAGAGTGAGAATTTACCAATAAGGGAGAGATATTATATCTAATACATCCAGAAGGATTAGGAGATTGAATAGGACAGCTGGACAGGAGAGGAAACTATTGAAATTGAGGTGGGAAAATACCCTGACAAATGTATAGTGGCAAAATGTGCTTTTACAAGAATATTTGCATATCTCTATGTAGTGAATATTCAGAAGTGGTCAAGCTTGAGGTTTAGTCTGACTGAGAAGCCCAGACAGAAATGACTGATCTGGAATTAATTATCAACATTTCTCCTTTAGAGGTTATGCCTTGATACTTTCAGATCAACAGTGATTTCCTTCTACATCAGTGTCACTAGATCTTGCCATGGGAAGAATGCTGATTCACAAAAATGCCAGTCTAAGAAGTTTCATGTCATCCTACTTTTTTAATATATTAAATCCATTGAACACGATGCATTATGGACCCAGGATTCACCAAAGCATATACTCAAGTTTGAAAACAGATTGACTTCTTTGAAGAGAAAGAAAATGCTCTCACAGAAGCACCTGCTAAAGCACTTGGAGAAATATCTGTTTTCTTTTTCTTTCTCACTCCTCTCAGTTTTCCAGTTTCCCAAAGTTATTACATTTGCTATCTGCATTATCAACAGTTGTTAAAATAGTCACATAGGAATGGAATTTATCATGCTCTCAATTCTCTACAATCATTAAACAATGTGTAATACTTTGCTTTTTTCCAGGGATTTTGTCCTTCTCATATCAACATTAAATCATCTGAATTAATAGAAATGCAAGCTAAAATCAGTTTAGATGATAAACATATCATCTATCAAAATTTCTATTTGGAACCCTTATATTTAAATGATAAACAATTCTTTTGCATATGTTGGAAGTAAAAAGGGTAAATAAACTTTATCTGTTATCTTAAGGGATTCTGTGGTTTCATAAGGTCAAAGGAAGAGAAAACAGAATATAGCTGATACCAGTATTTATTATCTCTTCCGTCTACTTTTATGCAAATATCAACTTGGTGATCCCAAACAATCTTACAATTTTTTTCTCATTTATGCCAACTTCAGGAAAACTTGCTCCCATAGAATTTAGTAAAACAAATTAATCACATTTCCATAAAGCCCTACAAATGCAGCAAGCCATCTTTCTCTTTCCTGAGATCCGATACTTCTAGACCATCCCCATTGGTCTAACTTCTTATACCCTATTGCAGGGATTCCGTGGCTTCCTAGAGAATGTATTTTTATGCTTACCTGTTTCTCTACCAGAAAAAGGTTTTATTAAGACACAGAGTAATCCTTCCCTGCTATGAAGTAAGTTATTATTTCTTGCTCTACTCAAAATGGATATAGGAAATTACTGATGATTGTCTTATTTGGAATTTGGCATTGGAATAGGCTGCCCAGGGAGGTGGTTGAGTCACCATCTCTGGATGTGTTTAAGGGACGTCTAGATGAGGTACTGAGGGATATGGTGTAGGGGAGGACTATGTAGAGAAGGGTAGATGGTTGGACTCGGTGATCCCAAGGGTCTCTTCCAACCTGAATGATTCGATGATTCTATGATTCTATTTGGTATTTTGGTCTAAAAAATTCTTGATTCTTTCAGCTTTTTCTTGTGAGTCAAGTTTTGAGTCCTACTACTCTTCTTGTCAATCACCACTGGATTTTCTCCATTTATTGCAGACTAACCATGGTCTCTGCTGGGCTAAGGCTGGATTGCCCAGTGAGAACTGAACATGGCAGACCAAGAGGAGACAAATGTGGAAGTGTGCCAAAGAACAGATGAATGGGGTCATAAACTGGGAGTCACAAGAGAAAGAGAAGGATGAAGAAGCAGAGTCTCTAGAGCTGAGCATGCTATCAGATCTTTAACCTGAGACTATGATCTGCATTCACCAGCTGTAGTTGTGTACTAATTTGCAGATTTTATCTTCTAATTCTTTGCTTTCAACATCCAAGAAAGACAGGGCTTCTAATGTGGGAAGTGAGCAAATAGGAACTCAAGAGCAGGTGATGACCTGCAGAGGTTTAGACTTACTCATGAAGACAAGAAATTTACCAATTTGATTCTGATATGCGTATACAAAACTCAGAAACAAACTAATAAACAAAAAACAAAGAGTGCTTTTTCTCAGTATTATTATCACTGCTATTATCATTGCCAAAGTTGTGTAGGTGAAGATTTGTTACATAGTTGTAAATCACTTTCACGGACAATAAAATAAAGAGTTACAGTGACTGGACACAAGATGAAATAATTTCTTTGAATGCTAACATAAATGAAGAAAAGAAAAACCATATAGAGTCCTTCAAAGCAACTGGAAGCCAGACTTCTTTCCATATTTAATGATTATTTTGGCTTTGAAAAGCGCTTCAAGTGACATTTTGTACAAAACAAAACAAAACAAACCCCAAACAAACCCTGAAAAGAAAACTATTCTTCCCAATTGATCATGCCCGGGTTATGACTGAAATTATTTTAAATGTTCAGGTTTCAATTTTAGTAGATTTGAATAGTAGTACACCTCCTGAAAGCCCTCACTGGTGCATGTGAGTTTCCACAACAGCAGAATTTATAGTAGTATTATATTACTAGAATCCATCTTTGCATCTATAATAGAACTCAGGTTTTATTTAACATGGGAGGATCTTATCACAAGCAAAAGGGAAAACTGTTCTACAAAATCAGAAGGCTGTTGAGCAAGACCAGTTGTTTGAAGCCATAAAGTTCCCTAGAAGTATGTTAACTCCAGAAAGCGTAACACCCTTTAAATCTTACAGGTACTATGAAACTATACAGTCTGGCCTTACTTACATCATCCTTACATCATAGAGTACTTTAAGTTTATCTCTTTTTGCATATGTTGTAGAGCTGGTTAAAAAATAATGTAGCAGTAATTAAGATTTTCAAAAACAATTTTTTGTGGGATTTTTTCAGAAATATAATTCTAAAATAACCAAATGATAATGTTCCACAGATATCTACATCCATTTTGGCATTTTTGTACCAAAGAGAGCCAAAGTACTGAAATATCTGCAAGTTTTTGCTGAAATATAACACAATGATTTACTTTTCTACAGTTTTTAAGGGAAATCGAAATAAGAATTCATTCTAATCAAACCTAAGATTGGATCTTATGATCAGGCTAGAAAACAGTGTAAGTAGAAAGTACAAGTTTGAACATACAAGAACTCATAGATATGATTTATTTAGTAGTATCAGAAAACTAAGTTAACTTCTCTGGCATTTCTTAAACTCCTTGACATAGTTTATCCACAAGAAAACGAAACATACACTATATGAACCTTTAAAGCAGAAAAGGTTCTCTGAAATTGCACAGTTTCTTGAAAGTTAAGGTTCTTGGCCCCTATATTTCTCCATTTTAGTACTAAAGTATAGTTTCCCTTTGCCATATATTCTATTCATTTTTTCATGTTATTACAATCCTGTCAGTCTTCAGGCATACAGAAATTTTATTTTAGTAAGAATTATTTCCTTTAATATATACCTCTTTCAATATTTAACCATTTCAAGGCAAATGTATTACCTTGATACTTAATAAACTGTCCTTTGTGTCCTATTATTTTTCTTCTCCAGAAAGGAGATAATTAGAATTGCAGAAGGCAATTTTACTGAAACTTGGATAAATTAACCATGGCCACATTTTTCATTATTATTCAGTAAAGAACGATTTATATAAGCTTTATAAAAAACTTTCCTAGCCTTTTTGTGCAGTTCTGAGCTATTTTTAAAAACTTTTGATGCTGGACATTGTGAATCTTTGTAGTATAGACTCAGGTATTGACTGTTTATAGTTATAGACTTTCCAACTTGCATAGTGGAACACATTACCTTGAAGTACTAATGAGCATAGTTGAGATTAAACAGACATTATTTCACACCTCAGGTGAGCTAAGAATATGCACAATCAGCTCCTATCGCACAGCGGATGAGTTGTTTTGCAAGTAATTGCAAAAGATGCAATTACTTTTGACTGTGTGCAAGACCTGAGGGAATTCTTTCAAGCAGTACCTGGCAGTAACCCTCTGCATAGCTCTTTAATTTCTTAATTAGTTTGAAAGAAACTAAAAGGTTATGCAACAATGTTGAACATAAGGAAACTTGAAGAAACAATTCAGGAGCAGCAATGGAATATGTCTATTTTTTATTTTTTCTATAGAGAATATATTTAGAGATTCATGAAGTATAGCTTTTAGTGGTCTTTCAGTGTCATACCACTCTGTGGTATGATACCAATCATACCAATGGTGATCCACTATGATGATCTACTTGAAAGAAACGGAAAACACCACTAGCAGTGCATGTGTTAATCATAGAATCATAGAATCTTTTATGTTGGAAAAGACTTTTAAGATCATTGAGTCCAACCGTTAACCCAGCACTGCCCAGTCCACCACTAAGGCATGTCCTCAGTACCACATCTACAGGTCTTTTAAATACCTCCAGGGACAGTGATTTCACCACTTCCCTGGGCAGCCTGTTCTGATGCTTGACAACCCTTTCAGTGAAAAAATTTTTCCTAATATTCAACCTAAACCTCCCATGGTGCAACTTGAGGCCATTTCCTCTTGTCTATTGCTTGTTAATTGGGAGCAGAGACCAGCCCCTTCCTCACTACAACCTCCTCTCAGGTAGCTGTAGAGGGCAATAAGGTTTCCCCTCAGCCTCCTTTTCTCCAGGCTGAATAATCTCAGTTCCCTCAGCTGTTCCTCATAAGACTTGTGCTCCAGATTCCTCTTTAAAGAGATTATTTTATAAAGCCATACCTTTATAATTTCAGTACAAAACCTCTTACAATCCACATTAAATATTCTGTATAATCTGGAGAGTGACTGATACATTTATCTGTCCCTAACCTAGAGCTCAGATTGAAGTTTGTCAGAGTGGGAGATTTTTTTTCCAGTGACTTTAAAGGTCCTCATTTATAGCAAACGTGATTGGGGTTTAGGGTCGTTGTTTGTATGTTTAAGATCTCTGTGTGCTCTTACAACCCTACTTGTTCTAATATGATTTTTTTAGTGGGATGACTCCCAGTTGTTAAAAGGCTTGAATAATCTCATATCAAGTTGTTTATCTACCTTTTTTTTTTTTTTCCCCATAAAAGTATTCAGTTGTGCAATGGCAAAGGAGTTAAAATTGAGGAGAAACTACGTTTGAATTCAATGAGGGGGAAAAAAATCAGAATCTTCTTCCTGAGCAAGGGGCTTTTTTGTTTGTTTCAAACTTGTTCCTGTCTTGATCCTGAATCTTGGTCCTCAGTAACTCTCTCCCAAATTTTGTTGTTTTTTTTAAACTGGTTTCTAAACTTGATTCAGCCAGATCACATTCAACTCTTAAATTCTTTCTGACTTTCACTTCATACTTCATGCTAGACTTAAACTGTAGAGCCAGATAAATTCGGTGTAGGTCCTGCTGGGAATTTGAGATGAGTAAGAAGATCCTGGCATGTCTGCCAGATTTATGATCAGGGTTCACTTCAGGGAAATGATTATACCTCAGCCAGAATAGTCCATCTAGACTTCTAACAATCTATGGTTGCATAAATGTTCCACATCAAGCCATCTCCCAGTGCTTTCCAGGGGACAAATCCTGTCACCTCATTGCATGCAATGTCCCTAAAATTAATGAGGCGATTGTAATGTTGAAGTTTAGTATCAAATAAAAACTGGAAAAAGCACTGGTTGGAAATTTTCCAGGATGTTTTTCTTGAGAAAACATCAATTTGATAAAGTCTTCTCTCATTGAGACAGTTCTATATGATAAAAGTACACTTGACAAAAAAATAATATTATTAATAATGTAGTCTATATTTTAATTTATTTTCCCCATTATTTAAAAATGTCTGTCATTTATTTTATGTGTTATTATATCAGTACTTGCTATAAATTCAGAATCAGAATAAAGTCTTTCAGATTACAAAAATATTGTAACTGAATGCAAAATACAGTTTTCAGAGATAGATCAGTATGTGTTTTGTTATAGAGCAATTTTTTTTTTGCCTACAGAACTAAAAAAATCAATTTGTAAAACTCTGAAACTCTGAAAAAATAGCTTAGCAGCGCAGACAGAATCACATTAAATATAGGATTTCCTGACTGTAGGAGTTAAAAGTCTAAGTAGTGGGCTTGTAATGCATATATTTATCTCTGAACTGATTACTATAGGCTCATTTTCTAGTCAGTGGAGCACAATAGGAAGTTTGTGAAAACACTCTGCTACATACTAAGCTGGCTCAACTAAACTTCCTAAAAATATCTATTTTTCACCACAGAATGCAAAGAGGTCTTAGTGAAAGTATGGTCAAAAGAAGACACATTCATCTAACAGTAACTGTCTATAATTTATAGATAAACATCTGTTATCTATAGCAAAATTCTTTTACCCTGTGTGTATAATGTACTGGTCTTAGCGTGAAATCTGTGTTAAAGATGTTAAAGATGTGATGTCTTACAAGTGAATTTAATCTGGATTTCAAAGGCAAATTAATATATAAATTTTATTTCAAAAACATGTAGTTTAAAAAGATTGAAACATTGCATGGTCTAAATCTATGCATGTATAAGAAAGGAAATATATAGAGAGAGAAGCAAACATGAAAGCATGGAGGAAATATTCAGCCTATAAATATGCATACATAAAGTAATTATATCTATAGAAATATGAATTCATATATATAGTATACATACCTCCTTCATAACCGTTGCTCTTTGGCAAATCTGTTTATACTAGCCATT